GGACCTGCTGGAACGCGTCTTTTTGCTGGGTGTAATTATTCTATTTATTTTGTTTATTCAATTATTTACTGCTTTTTTTTAAAAAAGGCCAATTATTAATGTTTGATTTCATAACAAAGTATGCACTTTTTTTAGCAAAGTGGGTGGGGATGTAAATGCATGTTATAAATTACAAAATTATGTAACAGAACAAGGAAATCTTGAAAATATAAAACAAGAAGTAAAGAATGTGTATTTTGGTAAACAGAGTGGAAAGCTTGGAGAAGTGGTAATAAATTTTATACTATTGATAAAATTCAAGTTAAATATAATTTTTACTTTTAATACTTTATCTATTTTAGTCAATTGAAAACTGCATGCGTTTAATGAAAGAACTAAAAACACCAATGATGAACATAATGCAGGTATCTTCTGAAGAGTATGATGAGATTATCAAAATGACAACAGAAGAAATAAGAGAATTAAATTCTTATTATCCTATTATTCGTGTTTATGCAAGTAAAAAGTTTGAGGCTAATCATAATTCTAATTAACCTATTTTTTATTGCTATTTATTTCAAATACTCATAGATTTCTTCTGTATAAATATTTATGAAATTTTAAATATTTTGACAACTATTTACTGTATAATAATATAATGACAAAAAATTAATCCTTTTATTAAATTAACTTATTTATTTGAAATAACTTTTTTTGATGCATAATATTGGCCGTTTTATTTTACGCAAATATATTGTTAATTATATTTTTAATTATAATCAAAATTTGGTAATCACTGAAAATTTAAGAGATATGCAATGATCTATATTGATACGTTTTATAAAGAAAGCCAAACTTTCCTTTTAAGTCAATATTCAAAATTTTACAACTAGACTTCCACACTTATAATAAAATTTCTTATTATTTAGTACTAGAATTTTAGTTATTTTTACATTCTTAGACCAAAAAACTTTTGAAGTATCTTTTTTTTTGAAAAGAGTGTAAACCCGAATTTTTGATTGAGACTCGAATATTATATGAATATCATAAATTTGAAAACTATAAATTATTTCAGCCTTGCAATTCCCTTTATCATAATGTATCAATTAAAAATTAGGTAGCTACGCAACGTGGTTGCGCACGGAGAAGTGCTTATCACATTTAGTTAATTAGTTCATTATAAGAATGCAATAAATAGATTCCATTCAATAGATTATCTAATATTAAAGAAAAATTGACAGAGGAGGATTTATTTAGCTCCTGGCTAGATGGCGTATGAAAAATTGATAGCTATTAATATATTGCTGTATTATCTTATTGGTAAGAGTATGCAAATCATCTAGCATTGTTGCATTCGAGAACTTACCTAATTTTAAGAAAACAATTCGAATTTTTTGAAAGAAGTATATTAATGGGACGCCACAGAAGTAAGATAAGTAATCTAATGAATTGCCAGTTAAAAGACTTATTACATAATTGCTGACAAATTATATGGTTATAGCGGTAAACACATGAATATCATTTACTTTCGCACCCAGCTCTCCAAGCCCAGTCAATCCTGCTATTTTTGAAATCTTTCATTTTACGTCTGGTCTGCGTTTTGCAGGTGGGAAATTACCAGCTAATGTTAAGCATCGCTACTTTGACATCAAATTCTATGATCGACAGCCAGCACGCTTTATTTATGTAGAAACCACCGGGTTTGGGTCAAAATCCCGACAAACAGAATCCCGACAAACAAAATTCCGACAAAAATTGACTAACACTATGCTAACTCTAACCCTAATGCGAGTTAATCTTTTGGGATTTTGATCTTTTCGGGATTCTGTTTGTCGGGATTTTGACCGGCTCCCAAACCACCAGCTGATGCTATTTTAATTATACATCATTCACACTGATATATGCACAACAAAAATGTGTACAAGGTTGTACTCCGGATGGGTCCGGTCGACTACTTCGGATCATTAATATATTAATTCC